GTGCGTTGAATGAAGAGGTGCTGAGCCAATATAATTCCAAAATTATCGATAAATGCAGTACCTATAATTACTTTTTTCCGAACCTAGTGTTTCCGGAGAGAAACACGCGTAAGCATTTGATGGAATATGCTTGCTTACTACATCCTTTGTAAGATGGTTTAGACGCTGTTCTGACGTTGTTTCTTGAAAATAGGACCCCAGTTGTTGGTCCACAGATCTGTAGAATATATTTTGACGACTTCATGATGACAATGCGCGCAATTTTCGGAAATTTTACCCGACTCAATTTCCTATCCTATCTTTTTAATATGGAATGGTTCTCATTCTTCGCGCTCACTTATATCTTTCAGAATTTCAATTCTTCAGAAACCCCACAACTTGGTCACTTTCAGCTTGTAGTTTGAAGTTAGCAAATTAGTAGAGATTTTCTATTTAGTCATCTTACTAAACGTGAAGAGAGTCCTGATCGCCTGGATGCTGCTGAAGGGAGCAATGCGCCGTACCGCGATGGTCGTGATAGTCGAGATGGTCGGGATAGTCGATACAGAAGAAGAAGCAGGTAAGTATATAGGAAAAACAAACCTACCAGGTTGTGCTTAAAGCTTAAAAGTGGTACTAACCTTCCTGGTTTAGGTCACATTCGAGGAGTAGCAGCGTTCAGAGGCGTCGGAATCGTTCCCGTTCCCATGACAGACAGATGCGGTCGCGACATTCGCGCAGTCGCAGTAGAGATCGTGGCGACCGTAGACGACATAGCCGTTCGCGGTCGCAGGAACGCAAAGCCCGTGGCGCCAACGACAGGTGAAGTAAACGCTTCTGATACTTACTTTGATACCTTGATGGTCCTTTAACTGGCTTGATCTTCAGTGGGGACCAAAGCTCTTCCATAACGCACGATTTCTGGCGACTGCATCCAATGTGGTGGACCGCGTTCTCTGAAATATTTCAAGAACGAGTCGGACCAACGCGTTGGTGGTCGTCCCAGAGGCCGTTTTGCGTTATTTGGGAGCCATTCTGTGACGCGGAGACTCCATCTGTCATCATTGCGGCGGAGCAAGAGGCCGGCCCAGCGGTGTTTGCACTGCGCCATATACAGCAGCGGATCTTTCAGTCTCGACCGCTCCCTTAGGTCTGTACTTCGACCTTGTTGCCATTGCTGGTGGCGGCCGACCTTCAGGAAGACATCTCTCCAGTGCACGATGCGTAGTTTGCATTGCCTTGGTGATTGTCCTGTTTTCAGGCCAGGTTTCGGTTGCGTAACACATCGCTGGTAGCACCGTGGCGTCGAATATAGAGGCTTTTAGGTTAGGGTCCTTAATTTGCTCCGTTACTTCACGAATCGTCCTAATGCCCATGCTGCACGCCTCCTGCCGCTTATTTTAGAAGAGATCTTGTTCAGCATGTTTAGCTCTCTTCCCAGATACACGTAGGAATCCACTCTTTCGAGAGCAACTCCAAGTTTCACGGTTCCCGCGTCACACCAGTGGTTCACCATCATTTTCGTTTTGGACATATTCATTTTAAGCCAATCTTCTGGCTAATCATGTCGAACTCATTTACTACCTCTTCCATTTCGACTGTATTATCGGATATCAAGACGATATTATCGGCGGAGCGGAACGGAAGTTGTTTATTCTTTTGCCGCCAGTCAAGTATCCTTTGTCATCCCAGTTGAGACATAGTTTTGACATCTCATACTGTAATGCTGCCGTGTAACTCCGAGGATATCGTGCCCCTGCCGTACCCCTCTCTCAATGGGAATGTTTACCTTGCGCTCGAACGGAAGGGTCGTTGATGAGTTCGATAAACTTTTTTTCGACTGTATTATTGGATATCAAGACGATATCATCAGCGAAACGGAGGTTGCCTATTCTTTTCCCGTCAATCAAGTATGCTTTGTCATCCCATTTGAGGTTTGACATCGCATGCTGTAGTGCTGCCGTGAATAACTTCGGGG